AAGAATGGAAAAATAAAAAATAAATGGCAAGTAACAGGGGACTGGCTTAATGAGGCAAATACATCCACTAAATGACTACTACACAGTCAAGAAAGAGTTAGAACAAGCGTTTCTGAAGAGTTAGAACAAAAAATGTTAAATTGAAGGACATATCTAATTGGTACTATTTCCCTCCAGCAAAGGGAACTTGGGAGCTAGAAGAAAGGGGTAAAAAGAATTTTCACTGGGAACTTTCCAGAACGCTCGGTGAGAGGTGGAGGAGCGGCGGCTGCCTGAGCTGCGCGCAGCAACGCGGAGCCCGGGACCCTCCACAAAGCTGCTCCTCCTCCCCGTCCCGCCCGGGGTCTCCGGGCCCTGGCGCCTGGGGCTCTCCTCCCGGTGCCCCTGCCCCCGCGCTCCCGGGGGGGTGGGGGACTCTGCGCGCAAGCGCAGAAGGAGCTGCGGGTGAGGGGCTGCGGGAGGAGCGGGCGGCCGCCGCGGTTTCGCTTCTCGGCCTGCCCGGGACCCTCCACAAAGCTGCTCCTCCTCCCCGTCCCGCCCGGGGTCTCCGGGCCCTGGCGCCTGGGGCTCTCCTCCCGGTGCCCCTGCCCCCGCGCTCCCGGGGGGGTGGGGGACTCTGCGCGCAAGCGCAGAAGGAGCTGCGGGTGAGGGGCTGCGGGAGGAGCGGGCGGCCGCCGCGGTTTCGCTTCTCGGCCTCCCCTCCTCTTTGTTGCGGGCTGGCCTCTCCCACCCCTTCGCTGCCTGGTGAGCGGGGCGGGGGGAGGAAGGAAACCTCCGCGATCAGCGCCCAGTGCAGGAGACACCTAACGACGTGTAAGCTACGCGGCCGGTGGGGGCGAGGGGTTCGGCGGCCGGCGTGGAGGCGCTGTGGGCCCTGGAACTGAGACGCAGACTTGGGCTCGCCATCCATCGTTCCATTCACCACTCCCTGGCCGCTGGTGCCCAGATGTCTTTTTTCTAAGGAGTGTGTGTCTTGTATTGACCAGAGGCCCTGGTAATGTAGGACCCAGCGGACTGAACCTGTTGGTGCTCCCTTGATTCCTTCTGTCACTGCTGGGGGCGGGGAGCAGGAAGAACCCAGACCGGGTGGAGGCTTTGGTGTGCGAGAACAGGAGCCAGCTGCTATAGTAGCTTCGGAATTGTTCCCTGGTAATTATTAGCTTATCTGCAATTTGTTAGAGTTTATTGCTGAATTGTCAAAGGAATTGTACCTCCTCTGCAGGTCAGAAAAGGCAGGGTTTTTATAATCAGATTTGGCAAAGAACAGATTTCTCGGCCATATCTATGATTTAACGAATTACAGCTACCAGTTGAAAGTCAGTGAAAATTGATTTTTTTTTTTTTTTAAATTTCAGGCTGTCAAAAATGGTGAAAGAAACCACTTACTATGATGTTTTGGGGGTCAAACCCAATGCCACCCAGGAAGAACTGAAAAAGGCTTATAGGAAGCTGGCCTTGAAGTACCACCCTGATAAGAATCCAAATGAAGGAGAGAAGGCAAGTTGTATATTCATACTCAAGTGCAGCTTGAATCGTTTTTTTGGTCAGGTGTATGGTAGTTCCATAACAACCTGAAATTGAGTATGTCTAATATAGTAGCTATGCTTTGTAATACTTTTTAAAAGTAAGATTTGTTCTTTTCTCAAACAGTTTAAACAGATTTCTCAAGCTTACGAAGTGCTCTCTGATGCAAAGAAAAGGGAATTATATGACAAAGGAGGAGAACAAGCAATTAAGGAAGGTGGAGCAGGTGGTGGTTTTGGTTCCCCCATGGACATCTTTGATATGTTTTTTGGAGGAGGAGGAAGGATGCAGAGAGAAAGGAGAGGTAAGAATAATCCAGTCTATATGCAGCAATTCACAGTAGTCCCTTGGTCAGAGCAAATTCTTGTCTATTTTAAATGTTGGTTTACATGTTGTTAAAATTTTGCAAACTACACTGCCATTTCTATTTGTATCGTTTTTTAAAATAAGATTTGATGTAACTAAAACTATCTAGACCAAGTGCTAACAAGTGCGTGCTTCTAAAGCTCTTTGACACTGGGACACAAACTTCAATAAGATTGTCAAGCATTAATTAAAGGAACAAAGTATCAACATAATTTTCACAGCCCTTTTTAAGCTATTATTTGACACCCCCCAGCCTAATGGGAGGCACTCCGTTGAAAATGGGTTAAAGTTCAGAAACCTAAGCTTCCCTCCAGGTTATACAGCAAGGCATCAGTAGTCAGGATTAGAGCATAGATTCATTACTTCCAGATAGCCTGCTATCTGTTAATTTTGCTTCAGCTTCATTATATCTATATATGTGCTCTTAACATTTATCAGAAATGCCGTTTCCTGGTTGTAGAAATACTCTTCAAAGGAAAACAATGTTCAGGTCAGAGTCAATCTCATTTGTTCCCAGAATAGTTTACATAAATAGTGGCCAATGGGTAGAGTCCATTTTAGAAGGAATAGGGAAGCCATTAAATTCCACTGTGAGCTTTTTAAAATTCAGAAAGACTAGAAATGGTTTACTTAGTTTTTCCTGAAAGGAAAGGGATATGTTTTTATACTTATATTTTTAATAAGGAATTGACTGGCAAACTCTTCTATGTGATTTAGATCAATGAAAGGCCTCTGTGTGGGACACCAAAAAATACTTGCCTAATCACATTTACTAAGCTTTTTTCCCTTATACTCTCAAAACTTTAAAGTAAGAAAGGCAGCTTTCAATGTGCTGGAACCAACTGTCTGGGGCTATATTTGTGATACAGAACCCAAAGATGAAGCTAGGAGCAGAAGGATATAGTCAATGGTGCTTCACACTTCATTGGAAACTAAAAATGTTCACAACAGGCATATTGTGCAGATAAGAGTTTGAGAACTTGTTTTCAATACTGTTTTGTGATGGATGAAGTCTTTGTGAAAGAATTACTAGCTGGGAACATATTAACCATTGACAGGTGACTTCATTTCTGTAGCCTCAGTGTCCTCATATGATCTCTAACCTTCCACTTCCTATTCTGAAATGAGTTACGGCACTCCTTTGTAGCCACTGCTACAATAAATTTAGATCCATTAAAAACAAAGACAAAAATTCAGTTTTCATCTGCAATAGCCACATGTGACTAGTGACTACTGTGTGGGATAGCACAAATATAAAACATTCCTATCACTGCTGCAAGTTCTTTTGGACAGCACTATGATAAAGGATATGAGAAACCTAGTCGTTAAACTAGTGCTAGTCAAACAATAAATGTGCTATTCCTGCTTCATGTAGAAGTAGGAATTGATATTCTGTGGAGGTTGAATAAATGCATCAGCTTCCCCAGCCAATCTTAATTGGTTGGAACTTGGAACTTAGTGTGCTGAAGAATTTTTGGATGAAGTAATAGGCCATGTTGCTCAATATCATAGTAAGTGAAAGATTCAAAGAATATATTGGGACAAAAGTGTAGTTTAAAATAATTATCATGAAATGTGCCTCTATAAATGGCATTGGTTCTCAACTGATTTTACTGTTCATGTTTTTGATTGCCATAATTTGTAAGATAGTCACAACTACATTCTTAGGCAAGTTACTTAATCTCACCCAATTTATTTGAAATTAATTGCAGTTTGTGAGTAATGTGGCCAAACTGTATGTAATATATACTTAATAAATTCTATGTATGTAATACAAATTACTTAACAAATGTACCTTGTGAGCTTATCTTTTATTATTATTTGTCATTTTGATGGTGCATTGAACACAAATAAGGTACGTACATCTTAGATTTTTAATGAGCATTATTTTATTCTAGGTAAAAACGTTGTGCATCAGCTCTCTGTAACCTTAGAAGACTTATATAATGGTGCAACGAGAAAACTAGCTCTACAAAAGAATGTGATTTGTGACAAATGTGAAGGTATGGTCTTCTAACATCTTAAATAAACTGAAAATTGAACTGAAGCCTTTCTGAAGATATAAAACTGATGAATAATACACTACCTAAATATTGGAGAGTGCAAATATAAAGAACTATCTATATCTATCATCTAGAGAATATTAACACATTGTATC